TCATCCCTGCCGTCACCCCCCATCCCTGCCGTCACCCCCCATCCCTGCCGTCACCCCTCATCCCTGCCATCACCCCTCATCCCTGCTGGGCTGCAGCGTGGGAGCGCTGAGCTCGGGCCAGGATGAGCCTACGGGCTTGTCACCAAGCTGCTGCACAAACAGCCTGGGAAGCACCCGAACCCTTCCCCAGCTCCGGGGAGGAAGGCACAATAACTCTGTTGCTGCTTTTCAAAGTGGAGGGAAAGGGAGCCTGAGCAAAAAAAGCAGCGGATGCTGGCGGGCGCATCCCTCAGGCAGGCTGCAGCGTGGGATGTCCACCAGGTGAGAAACGCTCCCACGGACCCGGGCCAGCTGGGACTTTCCGAAGCCACTTTACCCATACAGACTGTCCCACCTAACGCTCATGGACCATCTCAGGCTGGGAGGGACCCATACGGGTCATCGAGCCCAACTCCCTGCTCCTCGCAGGGCTACCCAACCCTAAGCCAAATGCCTAAGAGCATCGCCCAGATCCTAAAGGAGTTACTGAACTGCTTTGAATTCTCTTTCAACTTTTTTTTCCTCCCCCAAATAAGTCTTCAGCCACTAATAAAAGCCCAAATGTTCTGTTTTTCTGTTCTTTTCAGTGTTTTATAGGTGAACGATTGCATTTGAAACAGACTACTCGAGGACCACTGCATTTCGTAGGGAACGACCTGGGGTTTTTCTTTTTGTTGTTGCTCTCCGTGCCTCAGTTTCCCTGTTCGCCTACAACCATCAGGACGTGATTTCTGAGTTTTACAAATAGCCAAGCATTAAAACATTTAGAAGCGATCTCCTCTTTATCTGATGTCTGTCGCGCTGTCCGTTACTCAGACCTGTATTCCCCAGCATCTCTCGGAGGATAACTGTGAGCAGAGCATTTCCCCAGTCCCCTGTTTATCCTCAGGCCATAGCCAGTTGGTTTCAAAACTTCTGGGGAATTACCTGTTCTGAGGTTATCCACCGCCAGGGGAGGTCCAGTTCCCTTGCAAACCCAATGAAATTAGAGAGGCTGAGGAGGGAAGACTGATTTCGGAGACCTTTGGCTATCTTCCCGGCGGTTCGAAGGAGCCCCTGGGCCACCCGCGTGTGGCTGTGCGACCCTGACATGGCCGGTTCCTGTTGTGCTCTGACACTCGGGGGCCGCGGTGATTTATAAGCTCGGGACGGGTGCAGCGGGACGTTTGCCTTTCCTCACCGTGCAGCGCTGGCCGTGCTGCTGCGGTGGAGCCGGAGCAGCGCCGGCGCTTTGGCAGGGAAATGGAAGCGATGATTTTGAACCGTGAAGTTGAAGTGTATGTGCTGTTCTGTGAACTCGGGCTCAGCCCATTTTACTGTTATTCATTCCTTTAATCCTTTGCTGGAGAGGCTGGGAGCTGGGATGCCGTCAGCAGCTGAAGAGGCTTGCTCAGCTCCTCTCTCCCCGGAGCCGCGGGCAGCGGGGAGGAGAAGGCAGGAGGAACAAGCCCGCCTGCTGCAAGCAAACAAGTTGCCGCCGCCGGGGACTGCCTGAGCTGGGCCAGAGCGGGGAGCTGCTCTCGGGCACTCGCAGAGGTCGGTGCTTGTTTTCCCGCACATGGTTACACGAAGCCTGACAACATGCTCCTAGCTGCTGGGGGTTGCCCGTGACCATGTGCCAAAGGCTTAGGTTTTTTGTGAGGAGCTACTGATGGCTTTGAAGCACGGGGTGTGCCTGGACGGTGCGTGGTGGCAGTGGTGGTGGCAGTGGTGGTGGCAGCGGTGGTGGCAGCGGTGGTGGCAGCACCATGTGCCAAAGGCTTAGGTTTTTTGTGAGGAGCTACTGATGGCTTTGAAGCACGGGGTGTGCCTGGACGGTGCGTGGTGGCAGTGGTGGTGGCAGTGGTGGTGGCAGCGGTGGTGGCAGCGGTGGTGGCAGTAGTGGTGGCAGCAGTGGTGGCAGC